AAAAAATTAGCTCTCAAATTTTAGCTCCTTAATTTAATTACGTTGATTGTATAATTAGTTGGTAATAATTAATCTCTTTTTTTTATTAAACTTTTGATTCTTTCCTTTCTCGTTTCGAAATTGAATTCATTCCAAATAAAATTCACCCATTTTATGATTTATTTTTAAAATGTATTTTAAAATAACTTTTATAAATTTTTCCAAAAAAGTTTTGAATTATAAGCTATAAAATTTTTACCATCATCTTAAGTTAGACTTATTTCTAAGCATAGCTGTAAAAAATTGCAGTTTTTTATTCAAAATTTCCGAAGATATACGTGAATTTATATATTGGCGCGTTTTGAAATTTATCATATTTTTTTAAAGTGATAATAACGGCAAATGTGGTTTAGACACTTTTCTAAAATTATTTGAAAGTTAGAACGATGCGACTTTTTTCCCGCTCATGCACAATGTAAAAACATAGGAACGAGGTGCCTTTTTTCCTACTCCGGCATAATGGAAATGAAAGGAAAATATGCTAGAACAATGCTATATATATATAATGTTGTATGATCTTAAATTCATTTAGTGCGAACGAGACATGAAAAACACAATTTGAATTTTGTCAATCGTCCCAGTAGAACGGGAGATGTAGAACTGCCCCCCCTTTTTTTTGCGCAGTGTGCATTAAAGTAAGTTTTGCACCGTAATAGGCGTAAAAATATCAAAAATGGAATTGCCTAAAATGAGAGGCACACTATTTAAGTCGAAATATTTTACATTCGAATTCCTTACATCAGCAAGTGGAAACAAGACTGTTCCGGTGGAATCGAAGTTCTGAGATTTAAATCTGTTTTTATATTTTAAATTCTTATTAATTTTGTTTCGCATAATTGCAAAACAGAAAATCAGGTTGTATTAAATGAAACTTCCGTAGGCTTAGCTTGCAAAAGAAATAATAATTTGAAACACATACCTTGTGACATAGTTTTTTTTCCTTGAAAACGTACTGGAATTTTTGTTATATGAGGTGTTGAGTAATTAATATAAAAACATACAATTTAAATACATTCTGAATTTCTTTCTAGACAAAAATGAGGAACCTGACTCAGTTAAAAACGTATGACCATTTTGAAATTAAACTGTTAAATATTACCGAAATAAGGTTGAAAATTTTTGAAGACGTTCGCCTGTTTTGTGCGGTTATAGTAGTTAGTAGTAGTTGATTGCACTCAATTTGCGCCCGGGTTCGAATTCCGGGCAGCATAACTCTGAAGTGCACATCAGCATCGCAACCGAGGGAGGGTCTTCGAATGCAGACCAATAGGCTTCTGCTGCTCTTGTGACGATGAATCTTTGAAAGCTGTTGCATTTGAAAAGCTTTTATTTCGCATTATTGAGGATGTATTTGAATTTCTTTGATATTCTTTCAACCAGTTACTGAAATCTTCACAATAATTTATTTTTGATTTAAATTCGCATTGAAGAATTTTACAGAGAAATCATAATCTTTTAGTTACTTTATAGAGGAAATTAGGCTGTTAAGCATTTTCAACCATCTTACTTTAAGTGCGGTAAAGTTCAAAAGCGCGGCAAAGGTCACGTGATATAACAGAAAATTCTACTGGGAGCTCATTGGTTTGTTCTTGAGATCCCTCCTTCAGTTGCGATACCGATGTGCACTTGCGAATTATGTTTCCGGGCATAGCTTGTGATTGTAATTATAACTGTTTTTGTTTGATGAGTACATTTAAAATTTGTTTATCTGGGTAGATTGTGTTTATTTGTACTGGGTAGATTTATTGGGTAGTGAAGAAAGTAAAGGCAGAGCTTCGGATCCATCCCCTCGGTATGTTTTGCTTAAAGTTAGCGAAAGTTGCACAAATAACATTCGTGTGCTTACCTTAAATTAAATGATCTAATCCTTGTCGGTACTGTTTTCGAAAAGTAATGCAAAGTATCCTCGCGCGGGGGAATAAGAATCTCCCTTCCAGACTTGAGAGCAGCATTTTCCCCAAATTGGTCTGACTCTCACATCGTAGTAAGACGATTTAAAATTATGATGTAAAATTATATACATTTCTTAATAATCGTTGTGTCTCATAAATTATCATGAAGTTTAATTGTATTCATACTGTTTTTAAACTTTATTATTTATGTATTATACGTACCAGTGAGTATGGCCTTTATTTTTGGAGTGAAAATTGACTGTCGAGTATGACTTCATATAAAAATTTGACTGACTGTCGTCATTGGTCTGGAACCGTTTACTCTATAGCTTTATCTTATCTAGTTGCAGTATATTTCTGTTATTTCGTAAAGTTATCTTAATGGTGAAATGTTTGAGGATTCTGCTGCTTGTTAATGTAGCCTTATATTCAAATGTGCAGAATATTTGAATGCTTTTCGCTATGCTGAGCATGCTGTTATTTGAACTAAAAAACTACGTAAGTATGCTGTTATTTGAACATGAAAAAAGGAAAATGAAGTATTTTAAAATCTTAAATATATATATTTCGGATTACCCCCCTCGAAGTTTGATATCAGATACATACTTTACATTTTCGATCAGATCTATTTTACTTGTTTATAGAAAAGAGCACTGTTTTATATTAACTAGCCTTTTTCTTTAAAGTGTATTGGGCTGAGGAATCAAGTATGCCTTCAAGTTACTGAATCTGATGGTCTCTAAATGTAATTATTGTCTCAAATAAAAAGTATAACTGATCTCTGTCTGAATTGAGATGGATCGTTCAAGAGAATCACATTTTATAAAATTCGGTACTACTTAATTTAGCTTGATCTTGCAATGAAAATGGTTGTTCGCCATTTAATTTCCCAGTGACGTTTATTTGTTTATTTAGAAACACACTGGTTATATCCAAAGCTATATATATATATCCATATATATAGTAAATTTGTATTTGTGTTGAGTTTGCGGGGAATAACAAATGCAGTCATGGTTACAATGCTTCCTTCTTTTTTTTTTTTTTTTTTTTTTTTTTTTTATGTTCTTAGAAGTTAGTGGTAGTGAATTTATGGATCGTAGTGCTCTTCAGGCATGTATAAAAAATTATGGTTGTGCTAATTGATAAACAACTGTAGAAATAGTTAGAATGCTGCTCATGTGCATGTATCTGGGAATCGAATAACTTTAGATTTACTGTATTCTCCCAGTAGGCGATCTACCTTACTTAACTGTGTAGTTACTACGTGGATCGATAGGTGGCGCCACTAAAATTGTTGTTTTTACACATTTTTCTCTTCCGCCATTTTATCGCACATTTAAAATGAAAGGTAGGGATTTTTTTTTTTTAAATTGGACTAAGTGGTTTAAGTATTTCAATGAATTTCTCGATAATAATGTAACTGAAAATGAGCCCCTAAATATTATGAATATAGATTATGTAAAAAATTTCGCGCATATAGTGAATGAAACAGGTAAGACAAAATGCTCCCGATTTTATACTGCGGTATTTAGTTGTTCCAGAACCTATTTACAAATAATTTGTTGAAAGAAGAGAGATAATGAATTTATTAGAGATAAAGTAAACACTTGCCGCTTAGGATAACAGTTATTTCACAGCATTTTGTGAAAGCTAATTCAGAAGTCAAACAACAAAAATCAGCGTTATATTTTCAAATTTTCACAGGACTAGTTTCGATGGTTTTACCAAACGTTTATCGCCAGCTGCAAAAGCGCAGGCATTTGTAGCGCATGTAAAAGCAAAATCGCTTTTACAAAATAGTCTGAAAAGAGGTGGCGCCATCTATTATAAACGTAATTAACTAACTGTGGATGTTTAGTGGTGAGGCAAGACACATTTATAAAAATATAAACTTTATGGTAATAAAGATATATCGACGAGAAAACGGAACTGCTGCCTCATCTCGCCACTCTGCTGCAGTTCTGAATAATTCTTTTCAGAACGGACAGTAGTACGTGTGTTGTTTCCGAAGCAACATAAATATTTTTTTTGTTGGTTATTTCTTTTCCATAGCAACTTCACATTACTAACAAAATTCGGTAGATCGCCAGTTGGGACAATACCGATTTATTTTATATGATATGAAATTATTTGAATTATAAAGCATTTGTATTTCGCTTTGTTTTGCATATAGTAACTTTTGTTTTTCGTGAATATGCTAAAAGTTTTATGTTACATAAATCTAAGATAAAGAATTATATATATAATGCCTTTTTATTTAAAAATGTCCGTGCATCTATTGCCTGTATTACATGAGCTTGAGAAATAGCGATGTTGAAAAATGACTGCCATTTATTTTAATCGGTTATGCTTTGAAAATAAAAGTAAAATTTCTCAATATTTTTTAAATCGCAAATTTCGTTTCCATCATGTAATTCATCCCATATTAAAAGAGTCTAATCTTTATGTACATTTAAACCAGAAGGTTACAAAATGTAGGGAATAAAAATTCTGCATAATTGTTCATTGTCAAAATTATATTTGTTAATATTTTTATGTAAAAAATAAATTATTGTTTTTAATTATTTTAATAGCTTCTGTGGATTTTTTCAATATAGCAGGTAATTCAATTGTTTATTCTGAAAAGTTTGGGATTGCTTGATAATCTGGTGCCTTAATTTTAAGTGTAGAATTAATAAGTTACAAGGCTAATATGCCTTCTGTATGTTATGTAGCATTTTTAGAGTTTAAAACTTTTGTCTGATGTCTTAATTTTTCCCTTTATTGTTTTTGTATTGTTTATCTTGTTATGCTAAAAAATAACAGCCATATGTTCTGAGATTTTTAAATGCCTATGCAATTTTGATGTTATTAAAATGTGGAAAATAATTGTATAATTTTTTTTTAAAGTATGTAAATGTAGAGAAAAATTATTACTTTGTTATACAATTGCAATTTAAAATGTAGTCATAGCATTGAAATAAAAAATAAAAAAAAAAAAAAAAAAAAGTTGAGCAAAAAAAATTTGTACAAAAGACTCAAAATAGTAAAAAAGTTGAATATTTTAATTCATACAACTCCATTTCATAGGATCCACTCGTTGGAAGAACAGTTAAGAGAACTTGAAATCCGGAGTGAAGATCGTATTGAAACTGAACAGCAGAAATTCAAGGAGATTATGGTTTGTTCTATTATATTTTATCCGAATGCTATTATTTTAATCAGAGCCAGATTTAGACTTGAGAAGGCCCTAAGCTATTTGAGATATGGGGCCCTTTATAGGTCTGTTATAATATATTTTAATACTATTTATACTGTATTTTAATGTTTTTGGGGCCCCCCCAAGAAAGTGGGAGACCTAAGCTATAGCTTGTGTAGCTTATGTGTAAATCTGGCCCTGATTTTAATCCATAATTGCACCACTGGGGCTTGAAAAAAATCTGTTCTTACTTTCTGCATAATGCATGCTGACTGTGAGTTTTCTACATAACCATAAGAAGTACTCACGTAGAAACTTTTTGGGCTAAGATTTGAATCATATCCAATTATAATAATGTAAGCTTTTACCAGTGCTATGATTTTCAACGAAGGGGAATAAATGTATGTAGAAGAATTAGAATCATTTCTAAGACAACCATCCACAGTTCCAGGCAATAAGGCCTGCGGTGAAGGTTTGTCTTAGAGAGGTCAGATTCAATACTAGTATTTACTTTTGTTCTTATAAATGTTCATTTTCAGAGGTGGCCATCTTATGGTGGTTATCACCTTGAAAGTTTTACCGTATTTTGAATATGAAGATTGATTTAAAGTTAGTACTAATTTATAATTTGCTTCTACTTGCATGTTATTGCAACCACCTTAATAGAAGTTTCCCAATTTTCAGAAGTCACTTTACTCTGACAACCATGTGTATAACAATTCTCTAGGTAGCAATATCTATTGCAAGTTGCTGTCCGAAAATTCATCAAATTACCTTTTTCTTCTGTAAAAAATGCTAAACTGCACCAAGGCAGTTATGTGAATACATGAGTGCCAATTTGCTGTGATATAGTGGTGAAAATTGGAGGAGAAGGAGAAATCGAGGTGCTTGTAGCATGACGAATATAAATATTTTTAAAATTTGATACATGCCATAAAAATAATTTTTTTTTCACATACACTCCAAAATAATAAATGAATCCATCAAAATAGACTGCTTCTCAATTTGAATATATTAATCATTTGAAACTATAGAATATTCTCTCTGGTATGACAAGTATAATGTTTTATTTTTGTGCAAATTAGAATTATATGAGATAGGTCTACTTTTTATGGTTTATTTCTTGCTTCTTTTAAAAGTAGTATAATATTTCAAAAAATGTAGTTGACTGGCAGTCAAGATCGTGAGCTTATGATTCTGAGAGCTGACCGATGTATTAACATTAAGTGGCTTCATAATCTGCTTGCACATGCTTCCAAGCATTCATACTTCTACCTAAATAGCTTAGATTTAAGATAATTGTGACTGTATATGACTGTGTAATTGTGATTTCAAATTCATTCAAAATATTGCAAGAACTTTTTCATGGACCCAAAGTTTAACATTTAAAGTTAATTTTGCTTATATGAATCATGCGAATACTAAAATTCATTATAATCTATTGCCTGTAGTTATCAGAATGTGAAAGACAACTATGGAAACAGGTGAAAACTCATTAGTCATTCTGATGCAACCCGCATATGTTAGAACATTTTGTAGTTTTAAAAGATGTAGAATGTTCCTTCTAATGCTTCTGAATGTTAGATAAATAATTCCCAGAGGTGTTATTACATAAAATGTTTAGAGTCTCACTAGGCCATGTAGAATATGCCACTGTCTTTTCTTACATGCATGATTATTAGCCAAATAATCTAGTTCTGTTATAGTTCTTTCAAACCTGCTCTTGATGTCCAATAATTCAATCAAGAAGAGATGACAGTAGTATCATAAAAAAACCCATGAATTTCTTATACGTAATAAATAGAATTTAAAACCTTATTTTTCAAGTATTTTTTTTAAATGCCATAAAACTGTTAAGGTTAACCTAGATGTTATTGCTACTTAATACTACAGTGCTTCATGTGTTTCAGAATAAATAATTTATTCTTCTTGCTTACACACACACACAGTGAACAGAGCCAATAACACACATGTGTGTACTATGATACACACAGGTGGTACCATTATTATGTTAAAAAACAATAACTTATTCAGTTAAAAATTATTTGATAACAGTCTGAACTGTCTGTATTGAAAATGTTAGGAGAAATATCTTGAAGGTAAACCTAATAAAAATAAACTAAAAAATTATAGTTATCGTCTGTATGGTTTTATTTAATTGTTAAGTAACTTTTCATGGCATTTATAATTGAAAAACAGTTAATGTATTTTTTTTATATTGTAGTCTCGATGTGAACGAGAAAGTAAACTTGAAGCAGAGTATTATGCAAATAAGTAAGTTTTTTATATGAGATAGTAAAAAAAGTATATTGCTTTTATTAATTGTTTAAATTTCTTATGACATATGTAAAATAAAAGAAAATTTCTTACAGTTATTATAAAATAGTACATCTGGATGACTTACTACAAATTTAACCAATTAGTTCATTTTTTTATGCAAATTATATTGCTTTCCTATCAAATTGCTCATCAATTTCACAAATAGTTGAATATATATTTGTGCCTGTTAAAATAATTCTGCAAGATAGCCTTTTTGTTCTTGATAAACCTGTGAAATGATGCTGCAATTTTTGCTGCATTTATGATGAATAATGTGCTAACTTGATTAATATATTACTGATGCCCTAATGTAACAGTAGTCAACTCTATAATTTTAAACTGAAAATTTTGAATGAAATTATTTGTTTTGATTGATTTATGAGACTGATAAATATATGCAATTTTCCTTTCCCAAAACACTGTCAATAGTGATATACATCACTAATGTAGAAAGGGGATTTGATGCCCTTTTTACCATATGCCAAAATGTCATTTCTCCACGTCTAAGATTTTTTGATTTCAGTGTTGCTGTTGTTCCTTCTGAAAGAACATAGTTAAAATCAGGTCTTTGCATTTGTCATGGCCTTTGGGTATTTCAAATTAAATCAAAGGGAGGTGGGGAAAAATTAAATTATGCCAACCTGTGTTTCAGTGGGTTCTTTGTGAGGGCCACTAGACTATCTGTGTCTTTAATCTAATCCATCAAGAAACATCAATTCAAATTATCTTTTGCACCAAGATATTTTAATGAATGAAATATACATTAATGTTAGTGATTACATTAGTTATATAAGGTATTCAGAATGTCTAAGTGAAATTTCAAATAATTGAGCATGATTACATTAAGTTTCAGCACAGGCTCTCACCTTACCACCTCATGCTGGAAAGATCTCCATTATGATACCACCTTCCATATCAACCTTAGGATCTTGTCTTCACGTAACACAACAGTTATTTCTTTCGAACAAATGGTGATTTGGAATGATGAGAAGATTTTAAATTCATCAAATAATCTAGCTTCCATTTTCCAGATTTTCTGTATGCGTAGTTGTTGATGTCTAAATCGATGTGTAAGACTCTCCTTTTTTTAAGTAAATTTAGAGCTTTCCTGTGGCAATGATTATTGACTATCTTAGTATTAAAAAGTATCCAGGAATCGAAGATTCTGGTTCTCTTAGGTCCGAGTATGTAAACATTTAAGATCAAGAATTAAATATAGTTTCCACTTCTATTACGACTGTCTCTTATTCACTGAATGTCAAGGATGACTTGCCTAAAATTTTCTTCAAAAGAGTTTTCAGAGACTGAGCCATATACTTCCAAGCTGCCTTCTTAATCATAAATTTCCATTTGACCCCTTGTTTAGAGAATTTGTCTTGAATTTTAATGTGCTTCATAACTTGGATCAATAAATCTAATTCTTTCTTCACTCTTTTAAAAGTTTTGGCGTCCTCTGTATACATTAATTTGCACAAATCTCTTCTTCTAAATGTAAGCAAGATTTTTTCAGTTGGCAGGTCTGCCATGAATTAAAAATGCACTGCTCTAGTTACAGCACAAGTAAACAATAAAGCATACACCTTGGATAATTATTTCCCATTTTTGATGTACAGTGGGCTGAAATAATCTATCCCATTGTTTCAAAATGGAAAGGTTTCTCAGCATCTGTCTGGTGGAACGGGTCCGATATCTTGCACCACAGGTTTCATATGAAATATTTTAGACATTGCAATTGTACAGAACAGCTTTAATCCTAGGTTTAATTCTAAGGGAGTGAGTATATGATCTATTAATAACAGAAGTAATTAATGCTTCTGTTTTCATTGCCTGCACTTCAGGTGGGGTACATCCAAACAAGAATATTTTCATTTGTTCATTTTCTATAAAAGGAAGTTTTAGTTTTTTACAGATGTCCTCCATAATAGATGTTCGCTGCGGTCCTAAATCTAACAGTGCACAAATGCTGTGCTGTCGGCAATTTTTTGTGTTTATAATTTGAGTTCTGAATGTCTGAAGTAGACTAGAGTTATTTATTGATGCACAATTTGAAAAAGACAACTGCCTGTTGAATATGCTTCTTGCCTGATATGTTTGTTTCGCCATCATGTATAAAAGTATAATAATACCATTGCTTACAAATTTGAAAGCATAGTTTTGAATTGAAGTCTCTAGATGCCTTGTAAGACATGAAACAATTAAATAATTAAATTTATCAATTTCTTGTAGGCTTTCATTTTCATATACAAGTATCTCAAATCGTACTCAAAACCCCAGGCCAATTGTGCATATCTTTTCCAAAAAATGTTCCCAAGGCTAATTCTATGCAATTCAGTGATAGTTCCACATGATGTAGAATTAGTGCTATGTGACGTAGAATCTAAATATCTTTTTGAATGTAATTTCCAGACAATAATTTCATCTTTATACTGTTCTCTAGAAATCATATAGCTTTATCAGCTAAGATTAATTATTCTGTACTAATTAACTGCATTCTTCAGTTACACTTTTTTTTCCCTCATTGGCAATTTCCATTTCTAACTTATTTATTAGTTTTGTGACTAATACTGGTAAGGCAGCTCTTTATTTTTTACTTTTGCTAGATCCATTCTTGCCTAAAGTAAAATGTCTTAAATTTCAGTTCAAATTCAAAAAAGAGGCTTCATGTAATGGCATCGTTTAAAATTTTAGTATTTTAAAATTAAAGGTTAAAAAAAAACATAAAATATGCCTATCTGGTTTTTCATGGTTTCTTTGCAAGGTCCATTAGGCAATTTTATCTTTAATCTAATCTTTCAGCAAAGATAAGTCCAAATAATCAATATATCTTTTGCACAAAATAAATTTTAATGAATAAAACATGCATTAATGTTAATGATTATATTAGTTATATAAGGTATTAAAAACATCTAAGTGAAATTTCAAATAATCAAGCATGACACAGTGTGCAATTCTCTACCCTCCTTCTGTGGTCTTAAAGCCATCTGCTCCAAGAGTTCATAGTTTAGTGTATTATTCTATTGTAATGGCATCACAGATAAAGTGTTTTGAATCACAACATGGCCAAGCGGGGAGACGATAATGCTTCTCATTGCTTAGGTGCTTAAGCATCGTGACTTTTCTCAGCTATTTGCTGGTCTTGAGCCATCTTCCATGGTGGCTAATACTGTGAAAATGAATGAAGGGTCTCCTTCCGTTCTTCCTTTTGAGGAGACTTTTTGTTAGATGTGCTTCCATGCTGCAGACATTATGTACACTGCATGGGGGGAGAAGACAGTTCTATATATCTCGTTCTGCTGGGCCGATTGACAAAATTCAAAATGTGTTTTTCATGTCTCGAAAGCACGATTTAGGATATATATTAGATTTTTATATAGCATTGTTCTAATATAGGTATTTTGCCAACTTTTTCTGAAATAACATACCAGTTTTTTTCTATATTTCAATTGTTCGACTCAAATTATGCCTAGATATTAAATTTTGTAAAATTTGATGCAACATTTACGGAGAAATTCAAAAATTTATCTTGGCACAATTTTTTCAGTTTACGCCAAGAATAATTCACTTGGCAGACTTATTAATATATAGCAACCAATTTTCCTTTCTCTTCCACTATGTTTGAACCAGAAAAAGGGCACCTACCTTTTTACATTGTCCATGAGCGGGAAAAAAAGTCACATCATTCTAACTTTCAAATAATTGTAGCAAAGTGTCTAAACCATATTTGATGTTTTATCGTTTTAAAAAAATATGCCAAATTTCAAAACATGCTAATATATAAATTCACGTATATCTTTGGAAATTTTGAATACAAAACTGTAATTTTTTGCAGGTATGCTTAGAAATACATCTACTTTAAGATGGGGTAAATTTTATTTGGAATGAATCTCAATTTCGAAATGTGAAAGAAAGAATCAAATACATTTAATAATAAAAAAAAAAAAAGAAATTAATAAATATATACCAAACTCAATTAATATTGAGAAGCTAATTTTTTAAAAACTACTCATGGGATTTTTAGAAAACTTGGTAGTTTGGCATAATTTGAGACGTAGTATCAAAATATGGAAAAAAATGGTATGTTATTTCAGAAAAAGTTCGATTTTGTGTCAAAATACCTGTATTAGAACAATGCTATATATAAATCTAATACAAGTCCTAAGTCGCCCTTTCGAGACATGAAAAATGCAAGTTGAATTTCGTCAACTGGCCCAGTAGAGCGGGAGATATAGAACGATACACCTTCCCCCCCCAACAGTGTACATACCATAGATATTGCATACCACCGTACAACTCAGGGAAGCATTTAGGTGATGCATAAGTGCTAATAATACAGAAGATTCTAAATAATGTAGAAAGTTAAAAATGCATTTGTATTTTATAAAGACATTTGTAAATTTAAGATTTAATCTATGTTAATCAATGTTGTTATGACTTGGCTTGGTTATCAGAAGAAATTGATGAATTTTATCTTGGCAAGGAGGCAGGATTGCACTGTCATTGGCATGGGCTTTAAGTGCTTTATAAGTAATAGGAAAACTTGACCCAACTCCATTCCAGTTTTTGAAGGAATCTCAGTCCAAGGATCTCCCTTTCCTCTTTCCATACCATGAAATCATTTGAGAAAATTTTCAACTTGCAATGTATTTTAAGTATCCCTATTCCACAAAGATATTTAAACATTTAAAAACTTCCAAGCTATCTTTGGGATTTGAACACCAGCCAAATGGAATACCAGCTAGTAATGCTAACCGCTATACTTATCAGGATGGCATTTTATAAATATAAATAATCATTTCTGTGATATTGTTGCTCTTGCATAATGACTTCATTTAGTGGCTAAAAATGTATTTTCAAGTAATGTGCCATAATTAGTTTTTGCCTTAGAATCTTTTGTTACAATTTTAGTCGGAGGAGGCAAAAAATTTCTCCTCGTGGAATGACAGTGCTTTATATGTTTAATTATTTTGACTTTTAAACTTTCTCTATGAGATTACAATAAAAAATAGAATGTGCAGGAGTGGAGTTTTGCTAAAATTATCTAACTACATGACAATCTTTGGGAGTGGAAGGACTTATAGTTTAACAAATTCTTGAAATTTAAGTTTCTTCCTTTCTTTTCCCCATTCATAAATTTTGAAGATGGAAAATCTTCAGATCTGCTACTTTTTAATCTTCCATTAATAAACATTAGAAATAAGAAAAACACTGCAATCCTGTCATCACACTCATGTTTTCAATAGATCAAGTAAATACAGTATTTTATTAAAAGAATTTTCTGAAAAATAGCAATTGTTCTGTGTTTTCTAATTGAATAAATTTGAAAATAAAAATAATACTGGTGTTAGAGGCATATAAATTTATAAAATCCAGGAGTTACATTCTAAAAGGTTTGACAGTCATTCTGAATTAAATACATTGCTTTTCTTTTAAATTAAGAGAAATTCAGCATTACTTTTAATATCTCTTTTTAATCTTGTCTTTCTTATAGATTAATTATAATTATTTTACAGATTAGCATCATTACAAACTGATCACATGCAACTGACTGAGGAATGTTTGAAATTAAAGGATGTAATCGAAAGATTGAAACAAGTAAGTTTTTTTAAATGGCATGTCATAAGTACTGGAATTTTTGGTATTCATGTACCTGACATGTTAGGTTGCATATTTTGCATAAAAGGATATTATTATTATTATTATTTTCTGGGGAAGGCAGCTAGGCTATTCTTCCAAATCTTAATCAAATTAAGGTTGGTGTTTCAATCTACAACTGCACTTTTAAATAGAAAATATTTCCTATAGAAAGAAAAGAAAAGGTTTTTCCTAAGATCATGGAAATGCTATGGCTAATCATAAAATAAATCATAAAATAATGATAGTAATGATGCAACCTTAGTAGTAATTGCATCTGAAATAAGTATTCAGTAAATGTGTGGCAGTCACTGAAACTTTAAACAAGAAAGTGAGTAATTATAATTGTTAAACCTACGTACTCTTTGTTGCAAAAGAATATATATGCACCCAGAAAAAATTGTGCCATAATTACAAAATGAAGCATTCAAATGTGGTTTGGCGAGTTAGTAAATGATTAAACTTGCAGCACCAGTCAGCATTGTAGAATGTAAAAAACCAAGTACAGCGAGTGACAAGCATTTACAAATGTGCTGGTGGCTTGGATTCACAACATTCCAACTAAAGGTGCCTTTCAGATGTACTCGGCAGAATTGTGAGCAGTTGCCAGACTTTGACAGGAATCACATTGTTGGGCTAAAAGAGGCCAAGTGGTCGAATAGGCAGATCGGCCAGCATATTGGTCAAAGTGATATGGTTGTTGTTGGAACCAGTGGCTCAGCAAAGGCATAGTCAATCGCTGTAGTTACTCGGGGCATCCCAGGGTCCACTAATGCATGAGTTGATTGCACACTTGGAAGAGCTGCCACATCTGCACCAACAGTTATGCTATCATCAATTCAACACCATTTGCAGGGATCCAGGGATACGATTCACTGAACACAGATGTTCAGTGAAATGTTCACTTCCTCAACCGTATCACAATGAATGCAGTCTGTAGCACAACACTCAGTATCTGCATGAACAATTCAACATTGTTTACCTTCGTGCAAGCCACAGCAACTTTTGCAGTGCAGAAGATATGTGATTATCAGCAATTTTCCCTATTCTTAACAGTCCCCACCATGCACTTTATTTCCATGTTCTGGTCCTTTCATTGTTTCTCACTTTACATAGTTAATTCGTGGAGAGCATAGCATTAAGCTCTAGTGTTTTTTTCTCCCCAATTGACGGGATCCAACGGGCTGAAACCCTGTGTGCTAGCTGTTCTGTTAATTGCAAAAAGAAAGAAAGTATAATGCATGAGACTTTGTCCCACCAGCGGTTCATTGCTTTGCTTGCCATTAAGCCACAAGAATTTACTTTTGCAGTCGTGCACTTACTGGAGAACATAGACATCCAAACTGCATGGATTGTTTTTGGGTGAATCAAACTTCTGTTTGCAGTACCACGAGGGTTGGATTAGAGTTTGTATACATCGTGAAGTGAAACTGCTTGACTTGGGTTTTGCCTCATGATTCACCCAACGTTATGGTGTTGGATGGTATTGGAACCTACTCACGCATCCCCTGGTATGCATTATCGGTACAATTAGGTACAGTTGAGACTATATCTCTGAAGTTTTGCAGCCTGTTCTCCTCCCTTATCTTTAAGGCTTCCCTGTAGCTAGGCTACATTTCAACAGGGCAATGTGCGATCATACATTGCACGTAATGTTCAAACTTTTTTTTTAGCCCACCATATTGCACTGTTATCCTGGCCTGCTTGTTCTCCAGATCTGTTGCCCATTGAACATGCCTGCCTGTTCAGTGATTAGCGATCACCTAACTGGCATGCTGTACCTGCTGGAACATCATATGAACTTTGGCTAGGCAGCATGGGCTGCCATTCCCCAGCAACACATCCCAAAGTCTCTTTCACTCATTGCTGTGGCGTGTAGCAGCAGTTATTGACAAACATGGAGGCAACACTCATTACTGATTTTCTTTCCTTTTCACCTCAAAGGAGGCTGTATTTCAAATCAATTCACGCTAATACTACAGTACAAAGTCCATAATCCGGACGTCCATTATCCGGAATTATCTATAATCCAGACCTCAAAGCCACAAACTTTTTTTTGTATGCTTTATGCATGTGCGTCTAATGTATAATGAACGGTATAAGCTAGACTAAAATTATCTTTACTGATTCTAAGGCTTTTCAGTTAATGTTGCAGATTGCACTGTTCCTTAATCCTCTAATTGGATCCGGCTTATTATTTTTTGCAGACTGTTAGAGCAATTTTATAAAATATAAGCTTAAACTTTCGAATATGTCAAAAAGAGTTTCCAATTCTGGAGCTGCCAAAGGATCTACACAGCGAAAGCATGTTTTGATGTCCATCAAACAAAAAGTGGAATTGTTGCAAAAAAATGGATAAAGGCATATCTGTCTCAAAATTACGTGAGGAGTATGACATTAGAAAGTCATGCTCCGCGAATTTGAAGGTTTTTTGACATTGCAAACTAAAGGTGAAATTTTCTAGTTAATGGGATTTTGTAAAGAAATGTGGAGAAGCAATGATAGATGACATATGAAGAAGTTTTTCATTGTGATGACAATGCCCCATCACATCAATCAATTAATGAATGGCAAAATCTGTAGTATGGTTACTAGATCTAAGAAAATACCGCTTCTGAATAGTGAAGAAAGTGACAGAGAGAGTTATTGAAAACGAAAAAATTCGATTGACAAGTTAGTCAGTAATTCTCGACACAGCAGGACTTGAGGACAGTGGAACTTTGTACCTGAACAAGAATTATGTCTGTTTATAGAATTAAAGAGAAAGTATTAGCACAAAAAAAGAAAAGCAACTTAAACAACTTACATTGAAAGAAATGTTTAATAAAGTAAACAAATAAATATTAACCCTTTTTTTTTTTTTTGTAAATTTTGATACCCTTTAGATCATAATTGTTCTTTATTTCATAAATTACGGCTTCATATTTTTAATTGTATAATTTCTGCCAGCCATCTTACCAGATTTAAATTGATGATCTACAATCCGGAAAAAACCCTAATCCGGAATCTCTGAAGTACCGATGAATCCGGATTACGGACTTTGTACTGTATGTGTAATCTCTGAAATAATTTAGTTTTGGTATCTCTTATCCTTCATCATGTTGTATAGCAGCATATAATGTTAAATAAATATATCTTCCTAAGACACTACAAAATATGCAAAATTATTGATTGAATTAGAATTCTTAAAATAATTGTCAGCATTTACTTGTAATTACCAATGTTAAGTAGATAAAGCCATAGAAATACAAAAATAAAAATCTTTGAAACGTGTACGAAATCTGAAGTGTACTTCATTTTGTATGAATAGTGGTGATTATAAAAATTCTTGAATGTAAATTCTTTGTTTCTTGAAATGCCATTTTATGCAAGTAGTAACTCACTGTGTAATGAATGCAATTTCAAAATTTGAAAAGATGTCCCGTAAATAGTTTTGAAAAACAAAATTGCACATTTTTATGCATAATCCCAAACCTTTGATTTTTACTTTTTAATGAATCTCATCAGATTTTTGTTATTCATTTTTCTTTGGTTTATTTCTGTGATTAATCTAGTAATACTTTGTTCTTAAAGGAAAAACAAGAACTTCAAAATCAGTTAAATGAGTGTACAACAGAGCTGATGAATTTACGAGAAGATAACCTTCGATTACAAGAAGGCATACGCAGAGAGCGTGAAGAATTTGCCACAGAGCGAGAAAATAATAACAAAGCAAGTATCCATTGTATTTTTAAATTTTATGCATAATTTAAATTCATGTGATATGAAATGGTATTCCTTAGTTGATTCTCTTATTGTTTTATGTTCCATAAAATTTTGAAGTAATAATAATATATTAGAAAAATTAGAAGACTGAGATTAGAAGTCCAGTTTGTAAATTTTTATTTAATTTTTTCTGTATTTAGATGTACCTGGTAAAGAGCATCCCAGAAAGAAATAAAACAAATTTCAGTTTTCTTGAAATTACCATTATAATTCATATATAATTAAAACTTACTTCAAAATATTATTCAAGTATAGTAGAACATCTTTTAACAGGGCTTCTCTAGACTGAGGTCTGTGTTATCTGAGTCAGCAATGAATGTAAAGAAATCTTTGGAAAAATGTAGTAATATTAGAAAGGATACAGTGAAACATTTACAATTCTCTCAAGATTTTTGTCCTTTTATGTAGGTGTTAAGTCCTTTAATGGCCTTTATGCTGCAGATTACAGTAAAACATTTGGTTTATACGTGTTAAAGATGAAAGCAATGTTAACTGACAATCAATTTGTAAACATGTTTCAAAGGAGAAATGGTTGACATACTTGTATGAATAAATGTAAAAAAACTATAAATAAAGTTTCTAAATTTTTAGTCACAAAGAAATGATTCATGGTTTAAATCCAGAGAGCAATAAATATTGCAGTGATGTTGATGAAATAGAAATGAATTAGCAATATTGAAATCTTTGTTTGATTAATTTTAACTATAGCAAAGCATATGAGAGTTATATATCTAAATAGAAGGATGGAATTTGTAAAGGGGAATAATTTTTTTTTTCTAAGGAAACTACCTCATATTCTTGTTAAATATGTGAAAAAACTATGAAAACTTTTATACAACCAACCCATTTTCTGAGGCTAACTGCTAATGTTCAACAGTTTTACCACTCGATCACTTAGTGGGCACTGAATCCTTGACAGAGAATTGTCAGTGAATGACAGAGGACTATCACAGAAATGTCTAATAGACTTTATCAAGAAAACATTGTGTCTCTTATATAATATACTCTCATTAAATTTGCATGCAATAAATTTGACAAAATTTCACAAATTACTTAAGTTTTTATGTAATTTGTTTAATTTCAATTTTTATAAAAATTTGTGTTGTAAAATAAAATCTTGTGTAGGTTATTTATTTAATCAAAGGAAATGAATTTTATTTCCTAATAAAAGCATTTGTTAAAAGTGTTAATTGTAACAGTGTCCTTATTTTTAGAATATAAACAGTTTCAAAAAACCTTGTCAAAGGGAAATCAGCATGATTTAAAATTTATTCTCTGTTGAGTTTTTGAATGTCCAGGGTCATTGTGTTCACAGTTATTTTGGAAAGACAAATTTCTGCTGTAGTTCTTTTTCAATGTGTTTATTTAAATTGCTGAATAAAATCCTTTCTTGCCTATCTTTCAAAAGATTTGCTGTGGCTCACTTCATGCTTTTTTTTAGTTAACTCGAGTAGTCAAAAGTAAATTCCTTTTAACATTAAATTTAATTGTAATGTGTTAATTGTAATTGTGTCCTTATTTTTAGAATTTCATATAAACAGTTTTAAAAAAAAATAAAAAAAAAAAAAAACTTGTCAAAAGGGAAATCAGCATGAATTAAAATTTATTCTCTGTTAACTGATTTTTCAAATGTCCAGAGTCATTGTGTTCCCAGTTATTTTGGGTAAACAAATTTCTTCTGTAGTTCTTTTTCAATGTGTTTTTCAATAGCTTCCTCTTTTTCTATTCGTGTATCTCTAGCTACTGCAAGATTGCTCTAATTTCAGAGCATTATTCAATTTGTACAAAATCAACTTCTGGTTGTTCAAATAGTTGATGACATCTTTCTGTTATTCAGTAGTTGGAAACATTGTCATTTGATGATTATGTTTGATGAAAGGGATCAACATTTCATGCTCTGATTTATTTAATTTCCTGAAAAAGAACTGGTTTAAAAACATTGTGAGTGGCATATCAAGTATTACCATTACTTATCATACGTTTTAATTAATACCTGAAATGCATAGGGACAGTGGCATAGCTAGAACTTGGGAGAGTGTCTGAGTTTGCCACCTAGGGGTCCCTGAATTTGCCACTCCTTTTGATATACAAACAAACTATAAAAAAATGTTTTTGTTCGCAAAATCATCAGTGATATTGTAGGGGTGTATTTGATTGCTCTTGCTATTATGTAGATACGGTAAAATTCCAGAAATCAGCAAAGCTTGGGACCAGAGGTTGTGCGGATTTTAGGATTTTGCGGATTTCAGGACAGAAAAGATAAATCATAATATACAGACTATAAAAGTGCAAAATAAATAAGGCATATTAGATATATTTAATTAAATTATTATATACATTATTGCAATAACTTATTATATGCATTAAATTATTATTACATAAATAAAATGATTATATTATTCATTGTATTATATATATATATACAGCATTGAGCTTTGCCAATTTTGCCTCATGCAAAGATTTCCGGTTTCGGATTCCAGTGTTAGAATCACTGTTGCTATAAAATTTCAACAGCTTTTCTTTATTTTTCCGTATATCATACACAATCGTATCGCAATTCCATACAATTCTGCTATAAACCGAGGAGTAGCACGTGTCTCCATCTTTTGCAAAATTTGCACTTTTTGCATTACCGTCAATGCCACGTGTTTACGTTTTTCAATGTTGCAAGCAGTAAACTCAGAAATGCATTTCTAATCTACAATTGTATTAGAAAGGGCTGAAATTTAAAACAGTCTTAATTTATCCACAAAATATCCAGATTAAAAAAAAGGCAGCACTAAATAATCTCGTGAAATAACAAAGCTCAGAAAATACAACAACATGAATCGTGAACTTGAAAGAAGAGTTGAGTGAATCGTCTTCTTTCTTACCTTGACGGCAGATTAGAGGAGAAAAAACTTTTATCATGATGTCAATAATTTGGTATTTCTGTTATGGCTCATTATTATTCAGTAATTAGGACGTTATTATTCGGTAAGTGTTTTTTCTTCGACATTTTGTACTCAATGTTGCGATTTCCGGAACCTATAAACTGAATGTATATATTTTGAGAGGCAACGTGGATTTCAGGTTGGCGGATTTTTGGTATTTGACTGTATCAAAGAAAGATCTTTTCAATGTAAAATATACGTTTGTAGGTTTGAATATGTCTTAAATAATTTTTATTTAGAAAACACTTCTCACAAGTAGCAACGTTTACAGCAATGGAGAGAAAAGTTCGCACTAGTATAACAATTTTTGGAACTATGTTCTGGAGATTGTATTTTAGAATAAACAGCAAAAATTCAAAAGGACCACATTTCCACATTTCTGTTTCAATATTCCTAGACTAAATTATTTCTTTCTTAATGAGGAATTCTTAATTATGAATGTCATTGTAATCAGAATTTAATTGGTATTCGTAATTTGCATTCAAGCATTTCAATGGAATAAAAAAAAGTATAACAGAAGCATGTAATTTAGAATCTCTATATTCTTCATCTGCCTTGACGATCCACTTGACTAAGCATTATAAAATGTTTCACGCAAAAAATACCACCGCTAAAAATGTGCCACCTGTGGCAGACTGCCTCCCGCTAGCTACGCCACACTACATAGAGGAGACAGAGTAAGGAAACTTTGATCGTAAGTAATTAGTGTTACCACTGAAATTAGGATCAGACATAAAATATGATTCTTCATTTAAAGAGTTTCTGCATACATATAAATAAAATCAACTGCTTATAACTTTTAAGGAAGTTTTATTTTGATCGAATTTATTGATCTTGTTTATATTCTGTCGCCATAGTTTAAAATCAGATCTTCGTTAATTCAATGAACATTTGATTTGATCTTTTTTTTTACTTCTTACGTGCTCCGCTCTTAGGCACTGTACGGAAAGGGAGGGCAGCCCTGTGGAGGTCTTTTTCAGGGAAACTGGCTTGTATCCATATTACACATGGGGAGAACAATGAAAACATCCATGCAGTCAGCCCGCATAATTAAGTTTTGAGCGCTGGAAAGGATTTATTTTCATGATTTGTTTCCTTTTTTTTATCAAAATTTTGACTGAGAGTAAATTATCTAGTCTCTTCATATTGTTTCAAAGCTATTGTCTTAATTTTTTTTTCCATTTAAACACAGCACTTTTGCTTCTTTTTGTATCTCAATCATAAAATTGTATTATTTAACAGATTTTATTAAAAGAGTTGCCATTTTATAAGCAATTCTAATATTTGCCTGAAACTGATATTATTTTGAAAGAAATGAATTGCCATTATTATGCCTACTTAAAAATCTTTCTATTTATTTTACTACAGATCACATACATCTATATTTATAAATGTATTTGTCTAATTTTTATCTGGGACATATTTTGTTTTCAGAAGACTAAAAAGTCATGTATATATCTTTCCCATAATTTAAGAAGAATTTTATTTTGGAACTCCATTTAGAATATACCCTGAAGCATTTATTAATGATTTAAAATGTTGCAGAATTTAAATTCCTAACATTTTAATGATTTTACTAATTTAAAAATTTACTTTATGAAAAAAAAACTTATTTTTTATAGAAGTTAAATTAGTAAAAATAATGCAAATCTCATTGTGTTAAAACTGTTGTACAAAATGGGCTAAAATCTTAATTATTTAAGAATTCTGTAACTTAAAATACTACTGAAGAACTTTTGGTAGCAGTAAAGCTGATGGCAGCACAATTCTTGAGATATATTAACTTCAATTTTTGCAAGTAGATGTTTCAGTTCTTTTCCTGGGTTTGTTGATTGACATAATGAATAAATTTTGTAGGTTAGATTAATGACTTTTGATCTGTAATTTTTGTTTGTTTGTTGATGCTGTTAGAGATGGCAGATTCATTACAGTCTTTAAAAAGATTAATATTATTGTCGTTTTGTAGGTTAGATTTATGGTCCTTTTGATGTGCAATTTCTGTTTGTTTCTTGATGCTGTTAGAGGGCAGATTCTTAACATGCCATAAAAAAAACTGAATATTATTATCAGTTCAAATTCTTTTTAGATGACATACGTACATGCATAGTATTAAAAATAATGTAATGAAAATCATATTAGATTAAGTTAGTGTTTCAATTCATTCATTAATTTTATTTTATATTCCTAAAGTATTCATTCCATAAAATAATTTGTTTTGTTTATTTCATTACAATACATTTTTTGTTTCTTAGATAAGCAGAAAAAAGTAATAGAGTGTTACAAAGTAATAAATTATACTATAACAAAGCTAAATAACAAAGCAGAACAAAGTAATAAATTATATTATTACTCATATTTGTTGACCATAGTATATGATTTATGATAGAATTAAAATAACTAATTTGTAATCCTTTCTTATAGCTTAATTTGAGCATTGATTGGATATCTGAGAAAGTATATTTTATTTATTCCTTACATTTTCCCTCTCTTGTAGTTATTAGAAGAATTGACCAGAGAATTGGAGAAGCATTCAGATATGAGTAGTGAACCTCGTTTACGCAGTCCGAGCCTCCTTGAACTCCCTGCTCAGTATCGAGAATTACAGCAAGAGCTTCGAAAAGTGAAAGATGTAAGTGAACTAACTATTTAAAAATTTTATGTCAGTCATGTTTTAAATAATTGTACATTCTGTAAATGTACCATTAGCATCGGAATAGCCATAATGATGGAGGAGAGTGAAATTTATTGTTTTGCATAGATAAATCTCTTAAGAATTCTGTCTGGAAAACAGACTTGTCTGTCTTGCTAAATGGACAGCAATAAAAGTCTAATTGACTCTTTCAAATTCTTGTATAATAATTTTTTTTAAGTTCTAGAATATTAGGCGTGCTAGCTAAAGTTGCTAGCTATCTTTATTTAGTTATCTGCTTCATTTTTTACCCCTAATGAAAAAAAGTTAAAATAAATTCTATACAACAAATTAAATTCCATAAAAAAATACATGTAAACTACAAACTATGTTTATAGAGCGTATTTGTACTAATTATTATTTTTTTAATGATAGCATTTGCAGTTCATCTTTAAAAGTTTGATTTTTGATGTGTTTAATTACTAAATCACATGTAAATGTGTGTTAAAGGTTTAAGCATCAGAAAAATTCAACTTTACATTCTTATTCAGTCTAAGGTAGAATTTTCCAAATATTTAGATTTTGTAGTGGTATGCCCCCATTTCTCATGTGTCAGGAATGTTGATAGCAAGGTAGCAGTAACAAATCCAACTGAATGTAGCTAGATAAGTTTTCTAATGAATATTTGATTCACAAATGTTGAATCATTTTCATTGTTAATTTATGATTTATAGGTGTTTAATGACTAGTAATCTGCTTATTTTTTAAGTCAACAAAAAGCTATTTTAACTGTTGTTAAAATTTTCCATATCCTTGATTTCTTTTACTGAAATTTCATGTATTTAATGTGTAGTCTGTTATACTCGCATTATTCTAAACTTTTCATGAGTATTATATTAGCGTTATTCCTGTTAATTACAGATAATTTATTTTATGTCAATGAAAGAAGACATGTGCCTGCATAACCCTGTTTGTTTAAACCTCATTGTTTCAGAACCTCATTGTTTCAGTTAATTTTTATCTCCACAACTACACTAAATATTTAACTAAACTTCTGTAACACAGGTAAAAACTTAACAAAACTGTTTATGAGATTACTCCTTGTAGTTGCTATCTTAAAATTAACAAACGGCCACTACTTTGTGCTTTCAAGGTATTTAAAGTAGTAATATACAAATTTAACTTTCATCTTTCAAGTTCTTCCAGTAATAAAGTTTTAAGTTCTTCCAGTAATAGTTTACATGCTAATAGGTACAATGTTCACCCATCATTCTACAAGTTAGCGAAGCAGACAGCTTTCCTTCTTAGTCTCGCAAAGTATACCAGGTAGTTGCCACATTACTTTCTCTAAATTTCACTTTTGCTTGCTGTTAAACTAATCTGCATTTTGGTGAAGGCTGCAATGGAAGAAACAGAAAACAATTAACACAAAAATAGCATGATAGTTAAAATAAATCTTATACCTTTTAATTTTTAATCAAATGCAAAAAAAAAAAAAAAAAAAAAAAAAAAAAAAATGGTTAGAAGGATAATTTGAAGGCAAGATTGACTAAAAATTAGACTTCTTATATATGTATATATATATATATATTACTGATTTGTGAAAAAATACTTCTTTAAAAAAAACTGGTAGTGCTCTTCCAGCTAACACATGAATTATAAGAAACCTGAAAAGCCAAATTCTTATAATAGTTTACAACATCTACAATGTAAATGTAACTTTTCTATGCTCTGGAAAACTAAAATTTTATGTCTTTTATTGTGATGTTCATGTAATTACAATTGAATTGAAATAACTGAAGATATATGCTTACAATAACTTGAGATATGTCTGTGAATTTATTTGGTATTTTAAGAAAAAAATTACAGCAAAATTGCCATTAATATTTTATCAACTGAAAAATGTGATACAGACAAATTTCAAGGCCATTTTAATATCAATAATGTGTAATTTAATTCTGCTAAAGTTTGTTCAATTTTTTCCGCTTTTCTTGTATTCAGGAAAATAAACTCATACTTGAAACAAATGAAGAATTAAGTGCACAGCTATTGGCTAGCAGTCTACAAGAAGGACGATCATTAGTAAATCAAGGCACTGCTATTTCTCTAGCTGATGAATTTGAAACTCTAACCAAAGATGAGGTATGTAACTTTTATAAAATTCATATTTAAAGTCATTATAAGGTCAATGTTATATATATATATATATATGTTACCGTGAAAGACCGAAATTGGAGAATGTCACTTTCACCGGAGAATGTCAACATTCACCAAATACGTCGGTGAAAGATCGAATATTGCATTACATTCGGACCCTCACCGGTGTATGTCGACAATCACAGATATGCTCTGGTGTAGGTCGAAAAGAGAGGAGTATATGTACACGCTTTGTCATTGCAAAAGGAAGTGTTCCACAAAAAAATGCAGTTGTAAAAGCAAGGGCCTCTTGTGCAATTCCAAGTGTCATAATAGTTTAAGTTGTTGCAATAAATAAGATTTGAATCACATAATTTAGAAAGTTTTTAACTTCTATTATTTTCCTTTCTCATTTTGAATGTACTGTGTGTTTTAAGTTCTTATGTTCTTATTTTAAGTCACAAGTGCATTTTTCGCGACTGAATTACGGAGAAGAAAATATAATACTATTCTTATATACTCAACATTCACCATGTATGGTGAATGTCGACATTTACCGGTGTAAGTCAGAAATAAGTGTATTTGGAAAATATTTCCGACATACACCAAGCGACTATGTAAATGTTGACAGTCACCGGTGAAAGTCGACATTCTCCAGATTTCGGTGTTTACCGTAACATATATATATATTGGTGTGTGCAGTGCTTAAATTGTGCCGTTCTCAATTTTTAAGACAAATTACAATTCTAGCAGGAACACACCGGAGCCCTAAATAAAATGAGCTCTGGTACTTCTTTTTATAAAACTGAGCCACAATTTAAAAAAAAAAAAAAAAAAAAAAAAAAAAAAAAAAAAAATTAGATTTCCTTATGTTTTAGTTTAACAATAAGCAGACCTTGCAATACTCTATTTCCCTAGAAATACGAACTCATGATAACATCAGTCGTTCAAGTAAACGTCCCTCATTCACATATGGAAACCTTTCCCTTTAAAAAGGGCAATAAATTTGGGGGCATTTGTTTAGGAACGCGTAAAATGCCATCATATCTAGTCTATTGTTATCGATGGTTACAGTTAGTTATCCTTGCAGAAAGGAAAATTTGTGTTCTTAAATGTGCGTTAAGTGACAGCAAGTACAATAAGAGTGAAATACTGAGATAAACTGCTCAAGCACGTCCTATACATCATCTTCCCACTGTATCCACTAATGTAACCAAATACGGGAGGCAGGCAAAATGTGTAACCATCATCTTTACATTCAATCCTTAGGCGTCAGATTCAGGACTCATTTTACCCCCGACATGCATCCACTTGATGGCTACAATTATATCAGCAGAGAGCAGCGGTCAAAGAGAATGTTCGCTGTCACCAAGATTCCCCTCATTTTATGTTTCCACCCTCTCACACCATCACGCCCTCATTCTGTTTTGCTCTGTTTTTAGCATTATCTTAATTTTCATCTGGTATACTTTAAGTATATTTAATTTTTTTCAATGATAAAAAAACCTTTTCCCCTACGATCAGAGTTTAAATTGGCCCGGAACAGAGCTCTGGTACTTCTTAGTTTTTGTAATAGATCATAATTTTAGCCAGAGCACACCAGAGCCCTAAATAAGAAGGCTGTGGCACTTCTTTTGTGTAATTTAGCAATAAAATTATATTAAAAATCCCTTATTAAATGTTAATTTATCTCTTTACATTTAATTTAATTTTAATTATTTAATTATTTCAATAGATAACAATTAATTAACTATTTAATTTTAAAATTATTGAGTTTAATAGTTAATTATTTATTTACTCTTGTTCGTCTTTGCTGATGGTCTTCCATAGGACTCTGGCACTTTTAATTTTAGAAATTAAGCCCTGGGTATGTGTGTGTAATGTATCCAATAATCCCCCGAGTTACATAAGTGATGCACTCTGTGAATATCAAGTTGAATTTATAGATTGTTTAAATGTATGCTATGTTTAAATGAAATTGCAATGTTTATATTATATGTAATGCTATTTACACAGTATTATTTTATATATGAAATATCATACTGCAATATTTGCTCTGATATAAATTATATAAAAGTGTAATATGTATATATATATATATATAATAATTGTATGAAATATTGATTATATTATCTCCTAATATAAATTTAGTAGAAGTATCAAAAAAAAAGAGTGAACCCATACTTTAAGATCATACAACATATATATATATTCTTCTCCTTAAAAAGTTTATATTCTTCATGCTAGTAGGTATCTCCTTAAAATTTTGTAATTTTTGACTAATAGCTTTTTAGCTATTTATGTTAATTATACATTTGCCTAAATAAGCTTTCTTGTATAGTTTTTTTCTTGCTTAATAGTAAGTTTTACATTTACAATTTTAAATTTCAGGCATGTCGAGAAAAGAAACAAAACCATTGAGACATACTTTATCAAGATAATTAACTTTGATTTTTCTGTTAATTAAATTCCGCTTTCAGTCTCAATTGTTTTCGTTTGATGAAACGCGCTTACAGTATTAGCTGAATTCGAGTTTTGAGCCGCTTTTTCCTTGATAAGTCCGGCTTAAACCTCGGGGTGGGCTAATTTACCATTTATTACAATTCTTTGTACATATTTGCTGTGTATTTAAATGTTTTTAATTATTTGTGTGCATCAATTAAAAATTTTTTTAAAATTTTATTTAAAATTTATCAGTATTTTCTCATTCCTTTTGATTTTTAAGATATCTAGTTTTGTATATTTTACATTAAGTTTTTAAGCAATAACTTAGACTTCTTTAGTATTGTTTGTTGTTTTCACATGGTATAACTATTTTACTCAGGAACTACAGCATCAAATGTACTTTTTAGCAATAGCTTTTGAATATTCCTCTTCTTTGCATATATATATATAAAAAACCAATAATTCATAATAATTATATATAAGAAATATTTTCACATATTATCTCCAAGGAACACAAAATCAATTTAAAACCATGAATGAAAAAAATTTTCAGTCAGTATATAAATATTTTAAATAGTAATTTCTATCTATATATATGTGTGTGTATGTGTAAGATATAATACAATATTATGGCTATGCTAGGAAATAATTGGCAACCTCAAAATTGACTATTTATGTTCTCCCCCTAAGTTCATCTTTCTCCCAAATTAGAGATCTTTCCGAAATCGTATGATCTTTTCGTAATGCTGCTCGCAAAGAGAACTAAAACCTAAAATTAACCGATGACAGATTAGCTTACATATGTACCTGCCTAGTATAAATACTGCTTTGCGAGCAACTACATCATTCCTTTTATTTTCTTCTGCACTGCAAACTTCTCTGTGGAGCAATGCCCAATTGTCCTCCTTTGCCTTTATCTAAGATTATGTGTTAACCCATGTACATAAAAATTATTATTGCTAACCATGATTTAGAACTATCTTGTCTACAAAAGGTAATTGGATGTGCATCATCATGGAATAAAATTACGGTTCCAAGCGGTCACACCTGTATTTGAGTGTCATCTTTCTAACTACACAGTTAAGCCTCTCCAATGCAAATCCACTGTAACTTTCTTCAAATCAAAATATTACACACACACACACACACACACACACACACATATATATATATATATATGAATTTTAAAGGAAAAACTGAAGTATCTATTTTCAAGGTGTAGTAAGTGAGTCAGCACTGAAGGCTATGTTTGTGAAGAGAAATGCAGCTGTTTGACCACTTCTATTACGCTCTCAGTAATGAAGGCTGAGGGTAGTCAAGGATGTCTTGAGTTGTCATCTTGGCATTGTTGTGAGGGGCATTTTACAAGTACATCTAGAGTAGATTGTGTGATGGCATGCTTTTTGTCATCATAGATGGCCTTACAGCTAGACACATTACAAAAGATGCAGTTGCTAACATTCTTAAACTGTTTGCTAATTAAGATCTATTGTTTCTAATTTTCAAGCATCATGTCTGTCAGGTTAAAATTCTCATCAAAGTTTTTATTACAAATGTCTTAATGTCTGGATTTGATAATCAGTCAGTATAATATTTCAGTGCTTTAAAGGTAAATAAACAACGAACACTAGTAGTGATAAAAAAATGACTAAGTTAACCGTATGAATATTGTTTGAATGCAAGAAGTATGGGTTAGGAAAAAGGAGAAATTATTTTTGAAGTCCTTACTTCTAATCCATAGGTTCAGCTGGAATATTGCAGCTTTTCTGCACTTTTAATGTATGTGCAAATTCAAATAGGAGATTACTGTAATCATTTCATTTTTATCATTCTGATATTACCACTCACTATTTTCTGAGTACTTCCCCCTTCTTGAATTTTAATTGCTCCTCCAGTATTTATCTCTAATATTGCTAAGCTTGTATACTTTCAGGCATTACTATAGCTTTTGACATCTTCTTTAACTCAGCATCCCTATCCTTGCAACAATAAAATGTTAACTGTACTTGCAAGAATTGAATGAAAATGCATAAAACATTTTACATATTTATTACTCTTGATGCACATAAAATTAATAATTAAAACTATTCATGCATTATGAAAATAGTGGTAATGGTTAAATTTTTCTCAAAAATTTGCTGTAATGAACTTGACAAAACATGCACCGATTTCTGCCATATCATATCTAGTGGTCCATACCGAAAAATCGAACACATTGAACATATGAGATCTTGCTGCAAGTACAGACTCATAATCTTGTGTTTGGAATTTTAATAATAGCTTTTAATTTGTAACTTGTGTGTTTCCTTGGAATAAAATATGAGCATGAGTATATCAAATTAACTCAATATATCAAATTAACAAGAATCAACTGACATATTGGGTCGTTCAGAAAGTAATTTCGTTTTTTCGCAACAGAGGGTTTAAACGTATTTTTTCACAGACATCTTCATGCTTAAGTCGCACAGTCATTACATAGTTTGACGGCTGATATAGTAAGTTTGTGAAAAATTTTGATTGATTCTATGCAGTAGTTTTTGGTTGGAGCGCTTTCAAATATGGAAAGTTAGAAGCAGCATATTTTATTCTTTTCTTATCAAAAAGGAAAAAACGCTGTTCAAGTTAAAAAAAAAAAAAAAAAAAAAAAAAATCCGATGTCTGTTGAGAAGATGTACTGATAGAACATCAAAACTGGTTTTCAAAATTTCAATCCGGCAGTTTTGATGCTGAAGATGTACCACGTTCTGGAAGGCCAGTTGAGAGTTAAAGAAGAGCATGAGAAACCCATATGTCGAGCTTTGAGACTAAACCTAGGAGTTTCAAATGATTGTGAATGGTCGAATTCGATGAATGTAATCTCTCAGCGATCTCACGAGCCCTTATTCGCGAGTTTGCATCACTTAATTCCTTTATTTTATCTTCATCAGCTTCAACTGGCCTTCCAGACGTGATGCATCTTCAATATCAAATTTTCTAGATCGAAATTCTGTAAACCAGTTTTGGCACTAGCTTTCTGTCAATGCACATTCGCCATGCGTATTGGATAACTTTTTTCTTGCTTGAACAGCCTTTTTACCTTTTCAATGACAAAAACGTAAAACATGTCGAAAATTCTGCTTTTCACTTTCCGTATTTGAAAGGGCACCAACCAAAAACTACAGGGTAGAATCAATCGAACCTTTTCACAAACAAGCCTTACTATATCAGCTGTCAAAATATATAAGGATTTTATGGCTTAAGTATGGAATTGGCTGTGAAAAAATACAACTAAACCGACTGTTGGGAAAAAACGAAATTAACTTTTCGAACAACCCAATAATTATTATAAAGTATATAACTATAATATTTGTAGAATCAAATGAATGTTTAAATATTTGTTTAAAAAATATTTAAACCAAATTTGCCAAGTGTGTTCTTACTGCCTACTTGCCTGCGTACTGTCCAATCAGACTAAAAATGCCCACCCCACCAAATAAATTGTACCACTTTGGCCAGTCAGCTTTATATTGACTGCGTTTTCAGTGTAATGATTTGTATTGATCTGTTCAAGGAGACCTTTTATGATCCTCTGATTCCTTTCTCATGGTATATTTTAAAATAAGAAATATTCTTTACGTTACAGTGGAAAGTGTGAGTATATGTAGAAGGAATTAAAATGCAATATAATTATCATTTTCTAATAAAAATTTTAGAAATTTTCTGTCAGTAAAAGCATTTAGGTTAGGTTTTTTTACAAGCAAGTATTTAATGTTTGTGTATGTTGAAAATATGTTTCATTAGTTGCTGTTACTGTCTTCTCATCACATACATTTTACAATGCTTATTTTCCATAACTTCATTGTAAAGTTTCATTTCATGATTGTTTTCACAAAACCTAATTCACAGTGGAATTTCCTTTTCTTGAAAGGACAGAATAGCATCATAGTTAATATGTTTATAAATGAAATACAAATTTTAAAAATCAGGTAGATATTGTAATAAAAAACTTAACTTGAAGTTAGCATGTAATCATGATAAGGCACAATCGTAGGGAAAAGAAGGGTAGCGATATTTAGAGGCTGCTAAAGTTATTGTTGTATGCAATTTATTGTGGCTGCTTTCTATAAAAAATTTATGTTCTTGTTTATTTATTTTTAGATGATGAATGCATTACGTGAGCAGAAGGAGGTCAATGCTAAGTTGAAGGCCTATATCGATGGTATCTTACTCAATATCCTAGAAAATCACCCTCAGCTTCTGGAAGTCAAAAATACTATGTAAAAGTTACCTATTTAAGACTGAATTGCAAATCACACGTTCACCTTATCAGCGAAGTCACGACAGAGAGAGAATATGAACACTGAAAAGTTTTTAGTCAACAGATGACTTATTTTAATATAGAAGTTTCCCATTTTGAAATTTTAGATTTTTGTTAACATCATCTGGTTTGGCATTGTTGTATGTTTGATGCGAGCATGGTCATATCAAAAAGGATCTCTGTGTAAAATTGTTGTTTGAAAATGATTTTTCAAACGAGGAATGCCGTCCTATTGTGCAGCTTCCTTATGTATAGAATATTTAATAAAAAAATTGTAAAATGTTTGTAATTTTTTGTAGTTTCTTTATTATTCGAATTTTTTTATAAACTTATTTTTAGCAAGAAGTTTTTAGTAAGCTTATATTTACTATCTGCAGAAATCTAAAGCCTCTTAATTAACTCAGTATTAAAAATTATTTTGAATTTTAAATTTTAAAATTATGATAACTATTAAGTAGCACAATTTGATAAAGATAACACACTAATAGGATAATTGAATAAAGTAATAGCATTGAACCTCCACCCCACCTCAAGAATACATCCTTTCATTACATGAAAATTGCATAAAAAAATTAAATGAATCTTTTAGAATTCTAATAGTCGCACTGAAACACTTCTTGCAGGGGAAAATGTGATAAAAAATTGGAATGCGCTTATATGCGATTATCTAAAGGATGTATGGCTTAAAATCTGTCAAAATGTATAATTTCATCGCACGAGAATTATGCTAAGATTAAACACTTCTTTGAAAACTGTAATTGTAATAAATATCCATAGTGAAAAATTATGTTCCAAGGCATTCACATAATAAAATTGAAATTAACCTGATGCAGATGGAATAGGAAACTTATATATTTGTAGTTTTTCAAACTTTCCATTATAGTCTTCTTTTTTTTAACTTATTCACATAATTCTAGTGTATTCTTCTAGCGACCTCTGCAGCTTTATTTCCTAATTTGTATTCGTAAAGCAAAATAGGCCTCAAAATCTCACTTTCCAAAGACATGCTTTTCCAAAAATTGTGCTTCCTACAAAACCGATGGCGAAACATGTGAAGCACTGAACAACTCTGTAGTGCAGTGGTACCCAATTTTTTTTGTCCCTAAGACCTCGTTCTAGAATATCTTTTGGATGGCGGGCACTATTTACTTTTTCGAGGTGAATTTTTAGTTGGATAGAATTAATAATACTTGACATTAAAAAAAAAGAAAGAAATTGGTCACATTTCACATTGTTCTGGTATCTGTGTTGGACACAATTTCTATTTCATTAAATATGAGAAGACTTTCATCTAGAATTTTATTAAAAACTAAAACATTTTTATTGTGATCGCGCAGTGGTGGGCACACGTGAAACAATCGTAGGGTGCCATAGTGCTGGTGAGTATATGGTTGGGAACCCCTGCTCTAGTTTAAGGTTTGAAAGGAATGTAAACATATGACGTTATCAGAATCAAATCAAGTTGTAATTATTAATACGTGAATTTCTGCACGGTACAGTGAAGCACAACTTCGAAGATCCCGAAACGTCCATTCGCCCCCAAAGCGTAGAGTGAATGTGGGGCTCTACCAAATGACCAAACAAAAAGGAATGGCTCATTTTGCATTTATAATTTGTTCTATTTATTTAATTTTACCTTCAAGATCTAACAATATCTGGTAACATAATTTTTGCTTAGCTTTTCATCAAGAAGTTCACAAGATACTTGGAATTCTTTTGCCATTTTATCACATTGGAATTTTATTGATTCGTTTCTCATTGAGTTTATATGGCATCAAGCTCAAGTCGTTACTAAAGAAAACTATTCTGAGTGAATATAAAAAGATCATATGATAAAGCCCAGATGATTTCTGCAAACTTTGGCAACCACACGCTTAGCAATTCTTCAGTTCTAACAAGCAATGTAGTTATTTTCATATGCATCCATTTTGTTGTATTCGTACAAAAAGAACAAATTATAATTAATCTATATTGTAAAGATTTATAATTCTTTTTTCTCCCATAAAAGCATTTCAGTGGTTTTTATAAGCAAGTCATGATGTTTTTTGCTTTAAACTCAGTTTCATATTAAGTGCTTGCTAGATTTGCTTACCATGGAAGTAACTGAAGTAAACTTTTTTGCAGAAATACAGCATTTTGCAGTAAAATCGCTAAAAGAAACAATAGTTTTGAATATATTTTTAAAGTGATAGCCATGAATTTTCTACCATGACAACAGAAATAAAATTCTCCTTAAAAGAAGGTTTAATGGTTGTTTTTCGGGATGGATGCCTAACTAAAAGTAAAATATCTGTGCACGTAATAAATTTGTTTGACTAGCGTTTAATTGATTTAAATATATGAAGATACAGTTCTAGATACTTTTAAAACTTAATATGTGTTCATCGTATGGCAAAGAGAAGCAAGAGAATCTGGAACGCTTTGAAAAACAAACTATTCTAATGGAAAGTGAATTGAATTTAGATGATAGTGTTCAAAATTATACAATGGAGCACCTTTTCCAATTGAAAAAGAAAAAGAAAAGAAAAAAAAAAAACTAGAAAAAAATATTTCCCAGAAGAAGAAAACTAAGTCTGACTGAATAAAACATCCCTTCGAGTACTACCAACACCTTCTTCTGTTCAAGTAGATGTTGGTAATACGATAAAACAGAAGGCATGAAAAATCTTTCTCAATGTACATGGCAACAAAAACAAAATATAGAAACAAATTTTAATGCAGAATAAGAAATGTGAGTGTGGATAGGTTTGGTTTGGTTTATTTACTTACGGCAAAACACATTAGGGCTATCTGCCTGAGGGGAGGGATGCCTTCGTGGAGGACTTTCTAAAGGAAACTGGCTCATATACACGTTACACGTGGGGAAACGCCCATGCAGCCAGCCCGTTCGCGGGATTCGAACCTCGGACGAACTACCAGTGTTCAGCGACGCTCGGCCCTGGTGAGTTGAGTGTGGATAAACTTCTACAGTTTGTGTAAAAACATGTAAGAATAGGCAGCACCTGAAGTACGAAGTTAATGCTATAATTGAGTAAATTAAATTAATTTTAATAAAAATACAATAATTTTCTTTAATTGTCTTTAATTACTAAAATATTTTAATAAAATACAATAATTTTCTTTAATTGTTTTTACATAACATGCTGATCTAAAATATTTTAAATATTATTTTAAGATATGTCTTTCTTGGGTAGGGATGCGATTCCCCAAAAAACCCTTATACTTCTAAGGGTCCCTTGACTCGACAAAGTTTGAAGACCACTGCTTAAAAACTATTTAAAATAGTGATTACTAGTATCTTGTTAAGAGAATAGTTTATGTTATCATTTTAGTTTTACACGTATTTTGCCTATTTCCTCTTTTCTAATAAAACTAATTATGTAATGACCTACTGTTGTCGTTTGTGAATTAAGAAATCTTTAATTCTGTGAACATTACTGCAATGTACTAAGCTGCTGTCTATGAATGGAACATAATGAACTAAATCTGAGTGGAATGCTATTCCCCAGCTAAATTTAAGAAGCTTTAATGCTACCACTTGCAGATATAACTATGAGCTTAATATTAATAATTTGCTTATTTTATATCAACCAGCTAGTTTTTGATAAAATTTTATATTTATTTACTTTGTAGTACAGCTTATGAAATTTTGAACATTACTTACTTTTATTTTTAAATTGTGTTTTTAATTATTTTTTGTGTTTGTATTTCATTAATTTTCACTCTTAAAATGAAATATAAGCAGAATATAATATAAAGTTTTTATTAGAAAATAAAATTAAAGAAGACGTCAATTATTAATTTATAAAGAAGCTATAAACAGCAAGCAGATACATATTGTAGGCAAAGGAGCAAATAAAATAAACAAAAGAGAGGAATAAAAACAATCAGAGATATCCGAAACAACTAGTTAAAATACTGCAACTCGAATTCGTAAAATTATGGTTCAAAGCTTCGTACGGAAATATCAGCAATAACATGTTATTGAAATTGATTTTCTTATTTACAATTCGTTGAAATTTAATTCAGATGTCTGCCTATACATGGCAGCAGTAATATAACATAAACTGCTTATTACCAGGAAATCTCGGTTCACGAATTTAGCTCATTATTGAGGACCGTTCGTCAACCGAAATATTCGTAAACCAAAACAATTTGCCCGATAACAATTAATGTAAAATGGATTAACTTGTTCCTGATACTCAGATCACAGTTTATTAAACTTAACAATAGTATTTTGTACACAGATTCATAGCCCGAAACCAGCGGAAATGAACAAATATAAAACAAGAAAAAATAAACATAGTAATGTAATATAAACATAGTATTAAACAGATAAAAATCGACGAAAGCTACATTTAATTTTGTAACCTCTAAAAAGGAGAATAAGTGGTATGAGAAGAAATAACGACGAAGATGTTACTGTTTTGGATGGGAAGCTCACTTTCATGAAACATTAGGTTAAGTGCCTTATTCAGCATCTTCTTTCATTCTTTTGTCCTATGTGATTTTTTTTTTTTTACCTACCTTTTAAAATATATCTAAAGTGATACATGGCATTGTTAGTTACAACGATTATGTTGTAGCTTCTTACTGTTATATCAGGTTGATATCTATACGTGAAAAATTTGAATCTTGCTCTAGTTTTCACAAATTTCGTGGATCAGAAGATTGGTGTCATCTTCCTTTTCTGAAGACATTTTTTCTTGCTGTTTCTAAAGCTGTTGCAGTTCTTTCTTGTTGAGCTCATGACCCTCTAGCAGGGCTTAATTTCTAAAAGTAGAAGTGCTGCAGCCCTATGGAAGATCGTCATAGAGACAGATAAACAAGAGTAAATAAATAAATAAAATGACTATTAAAATCATAAATAATTTTTTAATTAAGTAGTTAATGAATATCAAATTAATTAATTATTATTTGATGAACATTAATAATTATTACTTATTAACTTATTTAATTAATTCCTAATTAATTTGTTATTATTTATTAAAGTAATTAAAATTAAAGAAGATGTAAAGAGATGAAATTTAATAAGCGATTTTTTATATAATTTTATTGCTAAAAATAAAGTTTTCTAGATCAAATTTCTACTGAAATAATTGTTCCTTCTTATTTAGGGCTCCGGTGCGCTCCGACTAGAATTAGAATATGTACCCAAAACTAAGAAGTGGCGGAGCTGGCGTCCGGCGCAATTTAAACTCTGCCCTGTAGTGATTTCGGCACACTTCTTCACTGTTATTTTTCTAGTTCGTAATTTTGCTTAGAGACACAATATCACACACAGA